GTACTATTTTTAAAACGTGAAATAAAAAAAAACAACACAAAAACATACGTCTTGTTGGTGATTGATTTGTTTTCATGGCACGGGGGCAGCGGAGACAATTGACGATGTTTTTCTACCCGAGGTTTGTGTTTGTTTGTTTGTGTTCTAACACTTTGGCTCGTTAGCCTTTATGTGGTTGCTACGGAGTCACATGACATCTGGCAAATGGTGGGGTCAAAGGGAAGAAGCCTCTCGGATGTGAGGTGAAACGTCAACTTACTTGAGGTGAGGCCTCTTGTCTACTTTAAATTGCTTTTGAGACTATGATGATGACTCTCTGCTGTTAATGACTGAGAACTGCCACAAATATTCAGGGTTGAACCCAAAACGATCAATGGTTCTAACGCCAGTTTCAGTCCTGTTCTCACCTCAGGTCAATAATGGCCTCTAATTTAACCTAATTATCACCAACCTATTGTAATAAAACAGGTACACACACACAGACTATGTGGGACTTTATCAGCAACTACTGTATATTGGTCTGAGGGCTCGAATTTGTCCGATTTTTAAAGAAATTCCAACTGACCCACTGCTGTGAGGAGTGGGGTTCACAGGGCACAGACCACATGAGGCACGTTCCTCTCATAAAGGCCACAGAGCAGCAACACAAATGTTCCAAACACTTTTAAAGGCAAACGTAAAGGTGGCCATAAAACCTGGAATGCAGCGTGAAATTAGTTGCTATCATGCCTGGATCGTGTCCCCAGGTCGTCACAGGGACACAGCGCAAATGCGCACAAGTGTGTGTGTTTGAATACTTACACAATCAACAAGTGCTACTGTTATTCAGCCAGTAATTTGATGTCAAACACATGACAGGGTAAGTGGAGGCAACTTGAACTTAAAGGACGCTGTAAAACGGTTAGACCACGAGTGTAACATTCCCATCTACGGCGTCACTGCACGGTCAGGTCTGCCCTGTGATGCATCTTCGTATCAGTGGGTTTCATAGTTTAGTCGATGGTACACAAAGGCACACATACATGACACGCAGTGTACGGTGGACCCACCGGGGGGCTGCATGACATGCTACGTCAAGTAGGAACATCCTCCTGCGTCAGCTGCTCGGCCATGTTCACGACACTGTACAATGATGCTGTTTATCACCAAAATGAAGCCGACTTCAGCAGCGACTATAAGTTGCACACTTAGACCAGGGGTCACCAACTATATTTGTCACAGGGCTAGAATTTTTCTGGACAATATTTTTTTTTGTTTGTCTAATATGATTTGATGTTAATTGTGAATCCAGTCATGGGCCAAATCGTACGGTTCTGTGGTCCAGACACAGTTTGCGAGCCACCAGTTGATGGTCACTGACCTGGACCTCTGTGACTGTTGAGTCCCTTCACCACTTTAAGACGTCCTGTATCTGGGCTTTATAATTATTTCATATTCTCTGGTAACAATAACATAGTGCCCCCTACTGATATAGTTAGCAGAAACAAGGAAGAAAGATGGTGATAAAACAGAGTTAGCCTCAAATGTGCCATGAAAAACACACACCCACACCCCGACCTACAGTAGACCATTTTTAGAATAGACGACAAAGGCTATAAAAAAGGTTCCACCTGACACAGAACACTCCACAGCATTCAACATCTTTCAGTTTCTGAGAACCTGACTGCCGTGTCCACCATCTACCACACATCAAGTCATTAACCCTGAGCCAGAGCGATCGGCCCCTGGAAACACACAGACAAACACACGGCGGCATGGAATTACGATACAAACACACAAAGCATCATAAAGTACAAAAAAAAAAACATCTTTATTTACAAAACAGACCACTGCCCCCCAGCCCACAAACCCTTAAATCCAGTGACTACTGTGGAATGCTATGTCTGTGGCTGAGGTTGGGAATTTTCAGGCTGGAGAAGAACACCGCCACCACCCAGCGCTAACCTTCGGTATTCTTCCACCCACTGATTTAGTCTGAGCTCACCGCTCATCTACTGCCGCAGTAAAGAAACACTGCTACTGTGGCGATAGTCTACGAGGGGGCGCGACTGATGACAGATTTGCTCTAGGGGGTTAATGAGACCTCTGGAAAAGTCTTCACCGCTGATGGTACCAACAAATGCACATTTGTTCCTTTCACACCGTAGCAGGTAGGTCACACAGCTACAGTCGAAGTGGCACAATATGAAAAGTGGCAGATATTATCAAAAAAAAACAACCCACGTATATCTTAAATCCAAGTGCTCAATAATGGTTAAAGCCAGACTGTTAAAAAAATGTTATGTTTCACGTCAAAAGCTGCCTCTGCTTCAAAGTGAACACAGGCACAGCACATCTGATCTCTGGCTGAAACCAGAGTAAATTTAATAAGAATCTGTGGATGGATATTTCCTTCCTCCTCTGTCGTCATCTGTATGTGTGTATATGTGTCGCTTCAAGTGTGGTTTCTGCCGAAAACAAGCGCAGCCTAAAGGCGCTGTAATCAGGGTGGTGACGTTTGAATTTGAAAACAGATCCGGCGCTTTGGGGATTTCTACTTCTCGTCCCGAGTCAGGGGATGGAAACGTACGCTGCTTGGGGAAGAAAAGGTCGATAAAACAGACTTGACTGTTGATCTCTCTGCCTTCCAGGTGTTACAGGTGGGACATGGAGACTCACAGTGACCTGTGGACTGACCGTGAGAACATGTTAAATCACATTTCATCTTCATGTGGAGCGGAGGAACCTGGAGCATCTAGTTTCCCCGAGTGAATCTCTACGACTATGACACGGCTGCTTGCATTCGAGCTAGCTGTAAAAAATCAGTTTTAGTGGAGTGATCTCATGTGTCCTCATCACCGGGATGTGCTGCGGCTCATTATAATTAGTGGTGGTCGTGAAAGGGGGCTGGGGGCAATGGTGATTCTTTTCTTCTTATAAAAAAAGAAACAAAAAGAAACAAAAAACAACAACAAACTAAACAACAAAACTCTTTAAAAGGCGTAGCGAGTGCGAATGTCCTCCAGCTTCTTGGAGACCTCCGGCGGTGTTCGGTCCAGCTCCTCCGCCACACTCTTCTGCTTGTGGGGGTCCATGCTGTTGAACTGCTCGCACAGATCTCCGTCAATCACATTCTGGGGACAAACAAAGGCAAGATTAGAGAAAAAAAATAAACAAATAAAAGGGAAAAAAGTAAAACACACACAGCTGGTACGAACCTTGACTGGGAAGTAATATGATCTAAAGCTGAGGTGGTCTCTGCCGCACATGGGGGGGAACTCCGAGCGCATGTGCATCTCCAGATGCTGGAAGAAGTCGTGGTCCTGGAGGACAAGTGCAGAAGGAGATTCAGTTTGAATGTAAATAAAAGGTAGGAGGAGAAACAAAAGGGTGAGATGACGAGGAACTGTTTAATCCCAGTGGGAACTTTTGTCACTTTGTGTCTGAAGATTTAATTAAATTTTTTTTTTAGTGTGTGAAGTTGTCACTTTGTGTCTGAAGATTTAATTAAAAATTTTTTTTTTTTAAAGTGTGAAGTTGTTTACAAAAGAGATCAATTAATACTGGATATTCTAATAATTCTGATAATATTGCTTGAATAAATAAAAAATATAAAGTCAATCATGTAAGACTTTATAAAGATTAAGGAAGTACAAAACAAAAACAAAACGATCTTCACCAAAAGTCTATGGAAATCAAACCCAGGAAATAAAGTGTTTTTCAGCCGCTGTATTTTGTGCTTCTTGGTTCTAACGCAAAATGTTCTGCAGAAATACATATGTGTTTTTTAAACAAACTCACACTTTGAGCTGGTCTATTCTTGGAACCTTCACCTTTTGTCCCTGACTTGTACTCATGGCCAGTATAAGGCGTTTATTGTTAGTGGTAAGAAAAATGAATGTATGAATGTCGTCACTGTGCTGAGACGTTTGGTAACACGCTGGGCTCGTACCTCATGTGATGTGAACGGGACCAAGATGCCGATGCCTCCGGACAGGGTGGTGTAGACCAGGGACTCTGAACCACCGGGAATCAGAGTGGTTTTCTGTAGTGACAACACCGTCTCACCGACGTGGTAGTTCATTATCACCTCCGCCTGAAGAAAACAGGGAGAGAACATGGTCACGTTAATGTGTGACACATTTGGATCTAAATCAGTGATTCTAAAACTGGCTGCCCATCGGACCAGTGACTGGAAGAAGACACCTGGAGGTCGATTCAAGACCAAGTTTTGATTTAACTTTGTGTGTCTGTCAGACCAGATGTGACCTGTTTAGCTTTTTTTGTGTTAAATGAGGTTATTAATTTCTATTATCATTATACCTCTGCCTATTCCCTGCAATACCTGCATTTCCCCACTAAATGGTGTTGAAAAGGCTAAAGGCATTTTAGTCTTTATGTCTCTATCCATCTATCTGCTCCTGACCCGGCCCCCCAGAAAACTGTTTTAGATTTATGGGAAGGAAACAAACACGAGAAAAAAAAAATGGACAAGTTAGTGGTTTAGTTGAAAAACTATAGTTTGTTAGTCGACCTTGTCAGGCATTCTAATTCTTATGATAAGCAACAGTCAAGACAGGAGACACTCATTCTATGGATTCCACTGCTGCGCACGGATCATATCAAATTTCTGAACAATCCGGAAGACGAGAAACATCTGAGTCAATCTACCTAAAAATCCCACCCCCCACCTTAGCCCCTGAAGGGGAGGAAATACTCTGCCATCTGGTCACAACCTCTGAGCTGCTTTTCATCAGGCGGAGAAAATACGAGGCTGCTCTTTTTTTCTTTTTTTGGGCTGACATTCTAAGGGGCTTTCACAGCGAAGTGTGGCC